GGTTACCCTCAAGGCTACATATATATATATATATATATATATAAAACCGTATAACAAGTATTATTCGACTATATATTGAATATAAATTTTAACTATAGAAATAAAGAAAATTCTATGTGCTATTTTTTTTATATTCAAGTTAAGATTTTTTTTTCTCGATATATCAACATCATTGTAATAAAATAACAACAGAAACTATATTTATACATAAAACAAACTAAATATTTTATAGAAACAAACTTACATTTGTTAATCATCAATTTTATGTGACTGAAAAAATCTTCATGATTTTATAATAAAAATCAGCATCTACATTAACCATAATTTTTAGGAAAATTTCCTATTGATTTTGTTTTATAATTCTACTAAATCGAATGATTATATTTCTCATCATATTATCTTTTACAACTATAATAGCCAATAATCATTAAAGACTAATTTACTCTCAAATTAATAGGAAAAAAATTAATTACTTTGTATTGTGACAATAGATAAAATCATGGAAACAAATTCTAGTAATTTTGGTGTAATATGTGAGAATTCATGACGTAGAAAGAGAGAAAAATAAAATAAGCTACAAATTCATATATTGAGAATATGAATATATGTTTTATTGGATTATGTTACAGGTTTACCGGCTATTATAGGTTATCAAATATATTTATATATGGTTATGAATTATTTATAAATAGACTCCTTGTATTGTACTGTTCAGACAATAATTCAGATCAATTCATTTTTGCTTCCCTTCACTGTGGCTGATCCTATTGCTCTATAACTCTGTCTCAAAGGATATAATCACGAGTATTCTCTTTGCAACCAGTGCAAAAGAGATTTGGGATGACTTGAAAACAAGATTTTCAAGAAAGAATGGACCTCGGATATTTCAACTCAGGCGCCAATTGATGTCTCTGCAACAGGGATCAAATGATTCTGAACACATGGCTTTCATTGTGAACCAACATGCTAAAATACATTCTGATAGCAACAAAAGTGGATTTACTAAGAAAGAAAGGCCGAAGTGTGCTCATTGTGAGATGTTCGGTCATACCAAAGATAAATGCTACAAACTTGTGGGGTACCCCCCTAACTATTTCAAAAATCGTCAACCAAAAGCTGTGAATCAAGTTGAAAACTCAACTGATTCTTTGAATTTGAATTCCTCATCTAATCTGACTCCTGCTCAGTGCCAGCAGCTGATCACTTTTCTGACTAATCAAATGCAGTCTGAAAATAATCTTGATGCTCTAGCCACCAATGTTACAGGTATTTATATGAATGTAGAATTTCCTGACAAAGATAACACTTGGATCATAGACTCAGGGGCTACATCTCATATATGTTGTTCCAAAAACATGTATAACTCATATTCACCTATTCATAATTCTAATGTTTTGCTGCCTAATTCCACTAAAGTTAAGGTAGAAGGAATAGGGAGCATCAGGCTAAATGATGATATTTTTCTGCATAATGTTCTTCATATACCTAACTTTAGATTCAATTTATTATCTTTATTAACCCTCATCAATGAGAATTGTTTCAGATTTGTTTTAGACACTAACAGCTGTATTCTCTAGGACCTCAAGACCTTGAGGAAGATTGGCACTGTTAAACAACATCATGGGCTTCTCCTTTTTGATTTTCCTAAGTCTGGTTTAAATTCTGTTTGTAATCAAATCTCCAATTCCATTACGTATGACACTTGGCACCAACGATTGGGTCATGTACCTCCTTCTGTATACAGGCTTATTGCTAATAAAACTCAATTGAGTGCTATTGACTCAAATTTTCATTGCAAACCTGTCATCTGGCAAAACAAAACAGACTACCTTTTACAAATCCTAACAATTTCAGTGCTAACGCTTTTGATTTAATTCATGTAGATATTTGGGGACCTTTTCGGGAACCAACATATGATGGATACAAATATTTCCTCACCTTAGTCGATGATATGTCTAGATTTACCTGGATATACTTACTAAAGAACAAGTCTGATTGCATTAACATCATACCACAATTCTGTGCTTATGTGGAAAATCAATTTCAGTCTACTATTAAGATGTTTAGATCCGACAATGCTAAGGAACTTGCTTTTAAAGAATACTTCTCTAAGAAAGGCATCATGCATCAATTTTCTTGTGTAGAGAGACCACAACAGAATAGTGTTGTGGAAAGAAAGCACCTACACATTCTTAATATTGCTCGGGGTTTAATGTTTCAGTCAAATGTTCCTCTCAAAGTTTGGGGTGATTGCATTAAAACTGCTGTGTTTCTTATGAATAGAACTCCTAGTCCTATTCTAAATTGCAAATCACCATATGAACTTTTATACAACAAACTCCCTAACTATTCTTCTTTCAGGATTTTTGGCACGTTATGTTATGCATCTACTCTTATTTCCAGCAGGCATAAGTTCAGCCCAAGAGCTACTGCTGCTGTCTTCATTGGTTACCCTCAAGGCTACAAGGGATACAAACTCCTTGATCTTAGCAACAATCAGGTTTTCATCTCAAGAGATGTACGTTTCTATGAGCACATCTTTCCTTTCAA